TGTTTTAGAGGTGATCATTTAAAAAATGGTTTACCTAAACTATTTAGTTTCTTGTTGGTTGGTATTATTGAAGAAAGAACTCAAGGCCCCATTAATAGGCTTCTCTTATAAGCATCTCATTGTTGTGGATGCAAAGCTGATTTCTACAATTTCAGAACTGATTTAATCTTCATATCTTGGATAGGTGGTTTCCAACTAATGAGAGGGCAAGTGCACTCGGAATGTCAATGGCTGGATTTCATCTAGGCAATGTTGTCGGCTTATTGCTGACACCAATTATGTTGTCCACTATAGGAATTTCAGGTCCTTTCATCTTATTCTCATCCCTTGGTTTGCTCTGGATGATGACATGGGCATATAGAGTCACAGATGATCCTGCAGAAAGTAATTTCATCAGCAGAGCAGAACAAAGGTTAATCCAAGCTGGGAAAACTGCTTCACAAAAGAAAAGCAACAAGTTTCCACCAGTACATCTTCTGTTATCAAAATTGCCATCATGGGCTATAATATTTGCCAATGCAATGAATAACTGGGTAAGTTCTATTTTGAGTGAAGATAAGGACTTGCTACCATGAATCCAAATTTTATCCATACTAATGTTAACCTCACTTAATTTGCAGGGTTACTTTGTTCTCCTCTCATGGATGCCGGTTTATTTCAAAAGTGTAATTACTTTATTAAGCTATTCCTAGTTTTTACATTAACAACTTTATAATCTAGTTTCTTATTGTTGCCTGGAGAATACAGATAAGATCTTTATTAAAGCCAACTGGTATATGAAGTGCATGAGTAAAAGTTTCTTTGTCCTTGATTTATAAAAAGTACATTGTGATTTCCACCCACCAAAATTCAATGGTAGATACAACTTTACTTGTGCACTCTACAGAAGTTCATTTTAGAATAGTCTTTCCTACCTACCAAGTTAATAACTCTAGGTTTCATCACATTTATACCATGCTCATGTTAGCTAATTTTATAGTTTAAAAAAGCTTATGCTAATCATCATTAAATATGATACTGGAAGCAGGAACATTCAATCATGATTATTTTTTTTTTCTTCTTCTTCTACAGGTATATAATGTGAACTTGAAGCATGCAGCTTGGTTTAGTGCGGTTCCATGGGCAACAATGGCTATGTCGGGTTATCTAGCAGGTGTTGCATCAGACTTTTTAATCAAGGGAGGGTACCCCACAATATTTGTCCGGAAGTTTATGCAGGTAACTCTTTCAGCCTTTCATGGAGAAGAATGTGATCATATCTATATGTTATTTGCCAGTTTCAGTTATAAGGATGAACTAAAATGCTTGATAAAGTGACCACTGAACTGCTATTAACAGGCCACAAAGAAAAGTTGTTAAGATTGTGAGCACTCTAGATAAGCTGTTTAGATTTTGTAGCAATCAGGGACCAATATCAAAAGGAATTCATCTTAAGGGATGGAAACCAATATCTCATTCATTTTGATTTTGTCTTATGGAATCCATGTTGATTTTATTAACACATGTTAAGTACAAGGACATTGATCTGCATTCTGCAACAATAATCTGATTCATCCTTGGTAAATTGCAGACCATTGGATTCCTTGGGCCGGCAGTGACCTTGCTCTGCTTGAATTATGCCAATACACCCACCATTGCTGCAACACTCTTGACTATTGCTTTGAGCCTGAGTTCTTTCAGTCAGGCTGGTTATATGCTTAACATACAAGTAAGTTCAACTAAAAATTTGGATGCCCTAAAAGCATTATGACATATTTGAACAAGCTAAAAGTTGACTTTAACTAATGAATAATTTGTGAAAAAACCAGTACGCACACAAAGACCATACATGGAATATCGCATAACATTGTCTTCTCGAAGACTTATATTAAGTATGTTTCACTGTCTTAGAAAAGGACATTTTGAAATGTTTACACAAACATGAACTACATTTTGAGACATTGTACATGAACTCATGAATATCAATGGGATCTTACCCTCACATCTTTGAACATTTTGCATGATGATCAGGATATTGCTCCTCAGTATGCAGGAACTCTACATGGTAAGAAGCTGAGAAAATTTGTTGTGTGGAATGTTATCTTTTTCCTTTTGCCTCTTGTTTTTCTCATAAGGGTTATTGATTTATTTAACATTAACAAAACTTTTACAGGAATCTCAAACTCCGCTGGAACTGTAGCGGCTATCATAAGCACAATTGGAACTGGTTATTTTGTACAGTGGCTGGGATCATTTCAAGCATTTTTAACTGTAACAGCTGGTCTCTATATCGTGACAACAATTTTTTGGAATCTTTTTGCCACAAGCGACCAAGTCTTGTGACCTTTTCCCTTCAAAAAAATCTTCATTTTTCCGTATAGGCCATCAGAAGCAAGGGAAATTATGAATTCAAAAAGTTACCATATACAATAAATCAATGTATGAAAATCAATTTTCAACTCTCCTTTCTTACATAAACAAAAATTGTATCAATCCTTAGCTTAGTCCATTGATTAGGGGAGTCAGAAAATTGTATGTGGAAAAATATTTTCACAAATATGTGAAGTATTTCTATAATACTGATTGTAACATCCCAAAATACAGTAATAACCATAATTTAGAATTAATTACATTGCATAATCAAACAATGCAGTCTTACACTAAAAAGAAAACAACGATCATAAACCGAACGACTTTAAGTACAAAATTTAATACATTAATACTGAGGTAACAAGAGTTCGGGATGAACGGTTTTACAAAACCAAATAACCGAACGTTCAAAAATCAAAATTAACTAGCTCTCATCTATTAATAACCGGACGCTCTCTAAGGCTCGGCCTTGACTTCCACATCTACCAGATTCTCCTCTTCAATTATATCTTCCAACAAGGCATCTCCTTCTGCTCACATCCACACGGATGATCATTGTAATTGACAGGACGAACGTACAAGAACGAAACAACACAAGGAGAGAACACAGGGTAAGCTTATGTAATTTAATTCATATGTCAACATATAATTTAAACATTTCAATCACACAAGAATATTTCAACACATATAACCATCCAAAAACTCTCATTAGCTAGACCGTCCGGACTGTATGAATCTGTGTAGCTACAGGCGTTCTTGCACTCGGGTGATGTAGTAACTGGAATAATCACATCAGCTGCCACCCGAGGTTAGCCCTATCCAAAGTACCCCTAAGGATTAGGATCTCCTGCCGTTCCCACACATGACCTACCCTCCTCTACGTGAGGACGAGTACTCACGGAACATCAGGATGAACAACCAGCATTTGCATGCCCACAGTCATACTTTACAAAATTCCATATTCATTCATACATGAGTCGTTCCTCCCTGGAACGCTCGTTCAAATTCCACAACCATTATTTCATCTCATATACTGTTCATTCCTTATAATATTTCACTTTAACCTCATTTTCGTCTTCCATTACAATGACACAAAATAACGAGCGTTCAACCCTCTTCATAACGAGGACGAACGTGAAAACGAGATCGAGAACCCCTCGTTTCAGAACCGAATAAAACCGACACATCATAATTGACGAACGTCATTTTCTACTCGAATCAGTTGAATGAACTGACTCTAAGAAGATCAAATCATTCCTCAAAGAATAATTTAAGTAGGAAGGCTCTAGGCCGAATCCAATTAGATAAGGACACCTCAAGATGATTAAATGACCATACCGAGAACAATTTAATTATAGAAGCCGACTGCCAGTCAATGACCGAACGCGGTACACGGATTTACAGAATTTTGGACGAACGCTATTTCCACCTGTTTGGTAAGTAACGACAAGGACGAGCATTCGGTATAAGACCGAGCGTCACTCGTAACGTACGCTTTGGGTCAAGACCCATCGCGGAGTTGTACTCATAATAGAAATAAAAATAAAGGTAATACGAGATGGTGAAATTAGGATTTAGGAATAACTGAGTGTTCAAAGGTATATTTATAAAGTTTCTCAACTCCTCACATAATACTCAGGGCATCTACGTTTGGCCGAACGCTCAAACGTAGCACTAATACAAGAGGGCGTTCGTCCTCAACTAGGATTCTTTCCGAATGAAAGAATCCATTACCAAATCATTTTCATTAGAAAACCGAACGGTCAAGGACCGTCCAGTAACGTACGTACACACTCATAAGGGAATTTCTTATCATAGTCAATGTTATCAAATTTCAGTTTTAACATATAGTCTCACCCATCTACAATCATACCATATTCAAATAATCATATCTTATATCATTAAATCACAGAAATCTCATACAGTTCATGCATCATAACATAGCCCCATCATTTTCATATCCAAATCAATTCAACGAACGTTCATGCAACACATATTCATATAAATTAAATTAATAAGCTTCCCTTACCTCTGAGCGTGAACGAACGTTCTCAGATATGGGCTAGGGTTTTCCTTCTAACAGAGGTCTCAACGTTCTTCAACACGTTCTACAAACTATAACCAACATAGACCAGACAAATACTCAGAATGATAGATTCAACTCATGCAGCCAAGAATTTGGGTTTGCATGTTACGGAAAAAGGCACGAATGGAGGAAAGATGAACTTACCAGTTCATAATCTTAAACTGATCGGTTCAAACGATCGTCCTCTACGCCGGAAGTGTAGAACTGGTGCCGGAATATTGATCAGAGGAGAGAAAGGGTGAGTTTTCTTAGAGAGAAGATAGGGTTTCTAGAGAGAAGAAGGAGGAAGATGGAAGATCAGATTTTGGAAAGAGAGTGCATGCAGAGGAGAGTGGAGTGTTTTTCTGAAAATCAAAGTTTTGCTCCACAGTCGAGAACGAACGTCCCCTCTTCAGTCGACACCTATTTTCCACTAACTGATTTCCGGTTCTCCTTCGCTTGACACCTGACGTTCATTATCTGAGTGTCGTCGAGCCTCCCTCTTGACACGTGAATTCCACTAAGGACACGTGCTTGGATTTTACCGGTTTCTGACTTTTGATTTTTGCTGGGTCTGACAGTAGATCTTGTGGCTATCACAAGGTTCATGTCATATTCGATACCTTACCTTTTATGTACTATGATTATAGATGCTTTTAGTCCTTCAGGTAAAAGGCCGAATAGTATATAAGCAATGATTTAACCCCGTCTATAACTAGATTACTTGGAGTTTAGTTATTTCTAACATTTTTATATAAAACAATTAAAACTCATAATTGTAAGAAATCAATAAATTAATATATAGTTTTTGTCTTGTACCCTTTAGATGATTTTGAACCTTGGTTTAACTTTCTTTTGTGTTTAAGTTTTAATATAATGTGTATTCCTCTTCAATTTCTGGCTTAGGTTGTGATGACGCTCCCCTACTTCCACTGCTTTACATAATTACCAATTTGGCATTCAATATATCCCTCCTTAATGCAGTAAAAACTTCTTCTGCAGTTGTATCTTCTCTTCTAGTAATGTTGTCAGGTACTCGTTATCATTGCATCTCACTCTTCTTTGTTGCATTCTAAACTATGAATCGTAAGGTCTTTTGTACCTCAGGTTTTCTTAATAGTTTTTTAGCTTACGTGTGCTTATGATTTTTGCAGTGCCCATATCTGTTTATATTCTTTCTCTACCATTACCATATCTTCCCGAGGGAACAAGCTTGAGCCCATTTTTTTTGCTTGGCTGTGGAATTCTTCTGTGTGGTCTCTTACTGTACAACACATCTCGACCTGTGAGGAACAGCTCTGAAGTGGACTGAAACCGTCCCAGTTCTGAGGATGAACTATCGGCTGGGCACCCTGCCCAAAAGAATATCAGCAGCCTCCAGGTACTACTGTTCACGGTGAAATATATTTTCTCCAACGTGCTCGAATTATACATACTCACTATCCTTGCGATTATTCTTTTGAGCCGAAAATTTGTTCGGTTTCCACTTTTGAGTGTCACTTAGTTGCTTTATGATGGCTGACTTCCTCGTTCTTCCACTGGATTATTGTAACTTAAGATTATGCATATATCTCTCATCACTTGTTCTGGTATATTTTCATGTACATTAATACATAACAGAAAAATGCATTTGACAGAAATGCAAGGTGCGAACATTTTAAGTGATCTTTTTTAAATTCGCTTTTTAACACAATATTTAGAGTTGAGGCATGTTTATATAAATTTCAATACAAGCTCCTTCTTGGAGACAAATATAAAAGGAAAATTGGAATTAGATTTTCTTACAAATTAAATTAGCTTATGTGGTAAGCTAAGTTATAAATTTTATAACTTTTTCCATATATTGTATCTAATTCTTTTACTTGTAACTTGTGTATAAGTTAATCTTAGTTGAAGAGAATTAAATTTATTTATTTATTTCCTATTTTTCCATTAAGAAATGTGTAGAAAAACTTGTCCGAACAGGTATTTCAATGAAAAGCCACCCGGTTAATAATTATATATGACTTCCAAGCTAAAGTTTTGTTAGCTGCCATGTTATACAATGCAATACTTTAGGTCCAGATAGAATATGATAGGATAATAATCACCTTATCCAATTTATTGTCTTGTTATTTATCTTGCATGTGTCATTTCATGTATAATCTTAACTATCAGTATTACCATGATTCCTCTGTCACTATATCATGACCACAAGCAATAACCATCAAATCTATCAACATTACTACACTCACTCTCACCCTTTTTCTCTCATTGTCACCATAATTATTCTTATCCTCATCATTATCCTTAGGATTATCATCACTATTCTCATTATTATTAGTATTATCTCATTATTATATTAGTTTCTCATGAGGAGAATTTTCAATTGAGTCCGATTTATTATGTGATCAAATTTTCTATATATTTTTAAATTGAATGTTATTTAAGTTTTGGTTAATTAGATAATGTAGTTGTTATATTGTTTCACTATTTTGTTTATTTATGTCTACCTTTAAGAAATGTTAGTTATTATAATTAATTAAGAATATCAAATTTAAGGCCGAACGAAGATTGATCACCTGAGAACGAACGCGAACGTTCGCTACGTAAGAATACACGACCGAACGCTGTTTTGGCCTACTCAAGCACTATTTGGACGAACGCTCGTTCTACAACACCTTTATTTTGGCCGAGCACTATTTGGTCGAGCAATGTAATGACGAACGCTAAGAGACCGAACCTATCAGGGCGAATGCTGTTTGGACGAAGAATACTGTTTGGACGAACGCTTACAGATCAAATACTATGAAACCGAATACTATAAGGTGGAACACTGTTTGTACGAACAATAGTTCAAATACTATTTGGACGAACGCTATCAGATGGAATACTGTTTGGACGAACATTATTTGCTGAACAGTAGGCCGAACACTGTTTGGTTGACCACTATTTGGCCGAATACTATTTGCCGACGCTATTTGGACGAACACTAAAGACCGAACGTTATTAGATAGGATACTATGAATTCAAAAACTGTTTGGACGAACGCGATTAATCAATACTACGAGACCGAATACTGTTAGGTCAACACTGGTTAGACGAACGCATATATAACATACTATGAGACCGAATATTATGAGCTCAAACACTGTTTGAACGAACGCTAGAGATCAAATACTACGAAACTGAATACTACGCTATATATATATATATATATATATATATATATATAACACACGTGAGTTTTAAAAACTCATAAATATTTTTAAATAAATTTCCGATAACATCAAATGAAAGTTTTTATTATAAATCGAACAGTGTATAGTTATGGTTCCTATGCAATCTGTAACATCCAAAATTATACAGTCATCAACTATATACTTAGAATAATTACACGTATTAATAATCCAAAACAGTTTTAAACGTAAAGGAACAGATTAAACAAATGGCCGAACGGCCTGTATATAAAAATTAACGAGCGTTTACAAAAATAAGGACGAACGGTTTACAAAATAAATACCGAACGTCAAACTACAACAAACGATAAAAGAGCGCTCGCTCACAGCCGCTCGACATCCTATTTACACTAACTAAAACCGAACGCTTTTACTGTTCGGCCTTCACCTCGACGTCCACTAAGTTTTCTTCAGCAATGAGTTCTCCTTCAAGTGTTTGCTCCAAAGACATATCTCCCTCTGCTCACATCCACACGGATGATCATTGCATTTGACAAGACGGATATACATAGACAAGACAACACAAGGAATTGCAAGGGTAAGCTTATTGAATTTAATTCAAGTCAAACATACAGTTCATACATATCAAACATATCAATTTATTCATAACACATACATTCAAATCATACATTAATTCAACCAAATCCCTGATACTAGACCGACTGTCCGGACTGTATGAAACCTGTGTAGCTAAGGCGTCCATGCACTCAGGTGGGGTAACTGGAATGCTCATCAGTATCCACCTGAGGTTAGTCTTTTTGCCAAGTTACAGTTATGGTCTAGACCTCCTGCCATTCCCACGCATGACCTACTCCTCTCTACTTGAGAACGAGCACTCACGGAATATCAGGATGGATCACCATCTAAGCTTACCACGTTCATACTACAAATATCAATATCCAGTCAAGAGTCGTTCCACCCTGGAACGCTCGTTCAAATTCCAAAATCATAATATCATATCATATATGGTTCGCACAATTTATACTTCCCTCAACATCACATTTTCATTCTTAATTACACTTCCATAAAAAGACGAACGTTATTTCACTGTTTGGACGAACGCTATTTAAGATCAGAACGAACGCTATTTAAAGACCAACGCTCGACAGAAGACGAACGCTATTAAGGATGTACGCTCGACAAGGGTCGAACACTATCAAATACAAACGCTCGACAAAAGAACGAGCGCTATCACGAACGGACGCTCGACATAAGGTCGAACGC